AACAAGGCAGTTCAGAATGATTGCTTGCTGGGATATTTAGAAAATAAAAAGTAGAATTTATTCAATGAAAACTGATGTTACCTATTTTTTTTTCAATAGAAAATGGAAGAGGATAAAAAAAAAAACTATTTCTTTTAGCACAGATAACACAGCAGATTATCTGAATATTTTAATTAATTTCATTTGCATTAAATACTTCTTATATCACAGTCCAATTTAGTTGTGTCTTAACTATATTAACCATGCCTTTCTCCAATTCAATATTATCCCAGTTAATTGCTTAATACAGAGTTGATAGTATTCAGTTTACAAAATAATTCTAAAGCCTCCCTGTGTTTTTCACTTGCTTTGCTTAGCGTACTTCATCTGGAATCCTTACCTCTATTACTATACCCAGCTTTATTCCCATTGTCTTAAAAAAGATACACAGATTTCATGACTCAACTGAAATGGTGCCTCTATTTGGAAATTTTGCTGGATCCCAGGGTTGCTCGGTCCTTTCTTTATTAGTGTGGTCTGCATAGAACTCTAGTATTACTTTCAGAGTTTTATACCTCTTTTTAATTTAAGTGTCCATCTTCTTGTTTGAAATATGAGATTCTTCTTCTAATTTTTAATAACATATAGAGAACAAATTTCACATATTTCATAGATACAATTATAAGAAGATAATCACACTTCTCTCCCTCCCTCAATCCCCTCTTTCTTTTATTTTTTTGCAATAACATAATTTCTATTTACTTTTTACAAAAAGATTTATTAATTTGAATGGCAGAGTTACAGAGAGCCAGAGGCAAAAAAGGAGAGAGAGAGGTCATCCATCTGATGGTTCACTCCCCAGAAGGCTCCAACAGCTAGAGCTGTGCCGACACAACGCCAGGAGCCAGGAGCTTCTTCTGGGTCTCTCACATGGGTACAGGAACTCAAGGACTTGGGCCATCTTCTACTGCTTTCCCAGGCCACAGCAGAGAGCTGGATCAGAAGTGGAGCAGATGGAACATGAACCAGTGCCTATATGGGATGCTGGCACTGCAGGCAGTGGTTTTACCCTCTACGCCACAGCGCCGGCCACTTCATTTACTATAATCACAAGCTTAATGCACCACCAACTATAATGTTAACAAGTAAAGAGTAGAAAGACCAGTGTTTCATAGTAATATAGATAAGACGTCAGTTTCATTCTTATACATTTCTTGTATTCTATACTAACTACCACTTATCAGAGCTATTCTCAAAATTATTTAAGGCAGAAATTATGTTTTATTCATCCTCCTATCTCCCACACATATACCAGTGCTGGGTCTCTAGGTGGTTTTTAAGGCTAGTTCAGAATCCAGCAGAAGAGATAATATAGCTTAAAACCACACAAACCTTGTAATGGAACCTTGATGACCATCTTCCTTATAATCACAGTATTAGGTTCCTCGTCTGTAAAATGAAGGAAATTCTACCATACTCTTAAAATATGTGAATTACTTAGCCAAGTGATTTGAACAGCAAGGACAGTAATTAGTAGTTATATTAAATGAAACAGTGAGTCATCAAGAAAACTGAAACATACATGTGTAGGGACATATATTTACACGGAGGCTGCTTGAGACAAATAGTATAATTTTATCAGTTAAAAAAAAAAATGAACCTCCATGTTGTGATGACTCCCAAGACTATGTAATGTATATTCTCATTGTATGATCTAGTAGGGGCTATAAAATGTTAGATCCTTGGGGGTGGTGCTGTGGTTAAAACCGCCACCTACAGTGCCAGCATCCCATACAGGGCAGGTTCAAGTCCAGGCTGTACCACTTCTGATCTAGCTCTCTGCTATGGCCTGGGAAAGCAGAAGAAGATGGTCCAGGTGCTTGGGCCCTTCATCCATCTGAGAGACCAGGAAGAAGGTCCTTGCTGCTGGCTTTGGATCAGCACAGCTCTGGTCATTGTGGCCATCTGGGGAATGAACCAGCAGATGGAAGATTCTCTCTCTCTCTCTCTCCCTCTCTCTCTCTCTCTCTCTCTCTCCCCCTCTGCCTCTGCCTCTGCCTCTCTGTAATTCTGCCTTTCAAATAAATAAATAAATAAATCTTTAAATATATATAAATATGTATTAGGTCCTCTATTTATATTTGTAAATCTTTTAAACTAGTGAGATAAAGTATTCAACAGAAGACTAACCTTTGACCTTTACATATATATTGTTTAGGAAAATAAAGCAAGAGAATTATTTTCCTCTTGGTCAAAGGCTCAGCATAAGCAAGTTGTAAAGCCAGTTAACCTAGTTGATGAACCTCCCTATTACAGACTTACTTAAATTCCCCAAAATTCATTTACTAAAATCCTAGCCCCTGATCTGGCTCTATTTGTAGATTAAGTTCTTACAGAGATAATTAAGGTAAAATGAGGTCATCAGAGTGGCACCTAATCCAAGAATGATTTCCTTATGAGCAGACACTAGGGATGAACACTCAGGAAAAACACCTAAGGACACTGCAGGAAGGTGGCCGCCTGAAAGCCTCAGAAGAAACCAAATCTCTCATCTTGATCTTGGACTTTCAGTATCCAGAACTGTGAGATAATTAATGCCATTGTTTAAGTCATCCAGGCCATGTTATTCTGCTATCACAGCCATAGAAGACTAATATAATCCTGCATATCAATTTATTATTAAGAACAAATTACAGTAGTGAAGAAGCTCTTTAAAAAGATCTGCCGCAGTGGCCATTGTGTGGTGAACCAACGGAAAAGGAATACCTTTCTTTCTGTCACTCTCTCCCTCCCTCTCTCTCACTGTCCACTCTGCCTGTCAAACAAAAAACAATTCTGGCTCTAGAAATAATTTGGGCTAATACTGGTTAATCCCCCATAATAATCTGTCTGGTGCCTACAGTATACTTTGAGTAAAAAGTGCTACATAGAATCAACAGAGATAAAGGATTGAAAACTGAACACAGAATTACTATCTGTTAGGGTCTGGGTAGTTGTTTAATGGATTTGTTCTTTTTCCTTTTCTGTTGATATCCTCACATAAGTGTCACTCTGGAGAACAGAAATTCCACAGGGGTCACAAGCAGTGGTGGAGCCTTGACCTGCTGACCCTGAATTTCATTAGTAAACCTGAAGGCAGGAAGTGGCAACCCTGTGCTACTCCCTCATCATAAACGGGGGCAATTCTGCAGGTGGGTGCCAAATCTCCGCTAGTTAGTAAGGTGTGCCTGGAAGAGCGAGTATGGGGAGGTCAGTAATTAAGATCTTCTTCATAAAGTAGCTCTGGGTAACTCTTGGAGACAGGAAAAAATAGAAAGACAAGTTTAAAGCAAAGCAAGTAATTCTGATCATCCTAGGCAATTTCTGATTAAAAGTTACCTAAAAAATAATGGGCTTTCTGGTATTTTAGGTAGATAGTGATTTGAAATTATGGTAAATACTCAATTGCTATTTTGTTCTAACATGCTGACAATCCTTGAGTGACCTGATTATGCTTTCTTTAAGTCAATCAACTCTTATATCTACATAATTTAGTATGCTTTTCGATCACAATTTTCCCATTTCCAAATGCAGCAGCAGAAGCTTTCATAGACTATGAGTCAGTTGAGTCAACTTTCCGTGAATTTTTATTGCAGAAGTCAGCATATTTGCCTGTGTCAGAGTGGCCTTCCACGTAAGGCTATATAAATTTATCTATTGAATTGGATTAGGACATGAGATTGCAAAATGGCACCTTGCTATGAGAATTACAAATGGTCCATGATTTACAACAGTGTGAAGTACAAGATTGTGACTTTATGATGATGTAAAAGTGATATGCATTCATTTGAAGCTGCCCTGAATTTTGAATTGTGTGTTAGCATATCGTCTTGTTATACTGGATGATGACAGTGAGCAAGTCCACCATCACAAGGGCTAACACCTGATACTCTAAAGTGTGCTGCATGAGGCTACACTATGAAGTTGAGCATGTTAGGTGCATTAAATACATTTTCAACTTACAAGGGGTTTTTCAGGCTGCAAATCCATTGTAAGTCAATGATCATCTGTATATTGAATAAAAGACAGTTGAGAATTAGCAAATCCGGAAAGAATTCCCTGTCCTCCCCTATTTAGCCTAAAAATAGGTCACAAATTTTATTCATGTGGTTGATATAAGTTTCTGTAGTGAAACTGTACCAAGAATAGGAGAGTGACTCGTATTACCTGAGCTGGCATTGATTTTACTGTACATAAATAAACTGTACTAAAATGGCTCCTACCTTCCATTGGTTTCTCTCAAATATTTCTCAGCAACTTTACCATGATTGACCATCCCTCAAAGCCCCAACATCCTGTCCTTTGTTGAGATGGTATGATGAGCTCTCAAATCTAACCATTTATTTGAATTTCTCTTTTCTGTGAATTATGTGCATGTAAAATATCAATACAAATTATATGCCTCCACTCCTGTTAATCTGTCTTCTGTTAATTTAATGTATAGGCCACAAAATATTGAACCTAAAAGAATAGAGGAAAAGATTTCCTCCCTAACACCATTTTGTAATTTTCAAAATTAATTTTTGTTTAAATTTCTGTTTCATCTGAGTGTCCTATGTCTTTCATACAGAAACTCCCTCCATTTACTTGAGATATAATTGAATGAAATACTCTTTCTGGTAAAAAGACTCCACATAAATTAGATGCCATGAAATATTAACTTTAATAGATTATGTCCTAAATAGATCTTGATTATTATGCCCAAGTCTTAGTTTATAGGTTTATGAGAGACCTTAAAAACTGCTAACAATCTTAGAACATGGAAAGTATGGAAGAGGCTGGTATGAGAACCATGCAATTGTGAATGAAATAAAAACGTAGCTGTCTAATAAGATATCACCAGTGTGGAGGTAGAAGGAAAGGACAGAGCTGCTTTCTTCAACTGGTAGAATGCCAATGGGAATCAATAAAAACCAGAATTGATGCCAAGGTAAACATGTTAGAAATCCTGTAGACACAGGAATTCTACATTTCAGATTCCAGTGCTCATTTCAGCAGCACATGCACTAAAATTGGAATGAAACTAAGGAAATCATCATGGCCCTTGTGCAAGGACGGAAGGAAAATTAATGAAACTTTCCTTTTATTTTTCAAAATTTTCACTACTCTAACATTTTTAGTAAGATATCCCCCATTGCCTCAAGATAATTGTTTGGCTTAAGTACAAATGAAGAAAATATCCATTTTATCTTTAACTTCTCTAAGACCTTAAGCCATAATTCTACAATAAATATTCCTAATATTTTAAAGTGTTTGTATATTTGCAGATTATTTTTATAATTTACTATATTAGCATTAATGTTATATAACTTCAATTTTGTTCTCAATCTATTTCCACTTTACAGTGCATATTTTAAGCATTTTGAAAAACAAATCTCTCCTGAAAATCTACAAAGTAGCACTTTAATTCTGTTTGGAACACACTATATATTATGTTTCAGTATTTTAAAAATTACTTCAAATGACTGTTCCCTCTTGTATAATTTATTGGTCTATCTTTATTATTAAAATATGAACATCGTTTCTACTCAATGCTTGACACTTCCAAATAATTAATATTGTAAAATTTACTGACTGGAAATATATGTGAGGGTATAAATACAGATATTTTACTATGAAAAAGGTTAAATATAAATATTGTCACAAGTAAGTGATCTTTGGTATTCCCATTTGCCATGTTCCTGTCTTTTTCAAATTATTTAACATGATATATTTATTCACTTGAAAATGAAAACCTGTAAAACCTCCACATTATAGCATAATTCAGAGGAATAGTTTCCATTTGAATAATCAGTTACCAATCTACTATGTCATTACAAATCAATACTTTCAACTGAATTAGACAGAATACCTACCATCTGGTGCCTACACTTGAATCAGAAAATAAAAAATAGAACCACTGTTTGTAAAGCAAGAAGCATCCTAAAATCTTTTTTATTTTACAGTTGAGTCCACTGTGGATGTTTTATTTTAAATTTAAATCATAAAATAAAGAAAAATTCATGTAAACTTTATATAGACTCTCTGAATGAATGTCATTATGTGGTCACTTCATTGAACCTTCATTTTTTTTGCACCTGGACATATACACTAAGCACAGACTCAATATGTTAGAACTAAATCACACTATAATGGTCTGAATAGGAAATATAACTCCACTCTGGATTTGCATATATACACAGTTCTCATTTGTAATATAGGAAAAAATAGTCATCTTACTGACAGAAAAAAAATTAAAACCTAGAGTAGTAGATGATCTGGAGATGTGATTTTTGTCATGAGACACCAAGTATGGATTTTCCCACTTCAACTACATTTATCACAACCATATTTCCCCACACACACAGGAATAAAAATAAGAAGAATAACAGCAACGAGGATGAAGGGAAGGAGGAGGAAGGTGAGAAGGAAAAGGAAGAAAGGGAAGGGAAATGTCTGCATTTAGATCGCACAGGAATGATTTGGTGGCATTTTAACTATTGCAAGAAAAACTCATCATTCCAAGGAGTTTTCTAATAAATTACAGTTTTCAAATAAATTTATTTTCAAATAAATTACAGTTAATATAATGTTGATATAGTTTCCTTCTATAACTGTTCAGCTCATATGTATTCTCTCATTCATCCAATGGAAATAAGAAATATTCTCGCTTTCACTATTTTTCCATTATACACAATACTGGAGATGATGATGTCAAATCCTTCCTTTAAAAAATAGCTTTCTTCCAAATTTAAATTTTAGCAGTCCTAATCATTCCACAAGTGTCAATTGTCTTAATGTTACACTAAGGGAAGAGTTCTCTTGTGTTTCTGGGAAGACTCATTCTTAGCCTCATCACATCCTTTTAGACAATGTTCTTTTTTAAAAAATAAATATTTTATTTTATTTATTTGACAGGTAGAGTTATAGACAGTGAGAGGGAAGAGACAGAGAAAAAGATCTTCCGTCTGCTAGTTCACTCCCCAAATGGCAGCGATGGCCGGAGCTGTGCCAATCTGAAGCCAGGAGCCAGGAGCTTCTTTCAGGTCTCCCACGTGGGTGTAAGGGCCCAAGGACTTGGGCCATCCTCCACTGCCATCCTGGGCCACAGCAGAGAGCTGGATTGGAAAAGGAGCAACTGGGACCAGAACTGGCGCCCATATGGGATGCTAGCACCACAGACGGAGGATTAACCTCCTGAGCCACAGCACTGGCCCCAACAATGTTCTTATCTCTATTCTAAGATAAGATAATATTTTTTTCTCTATGAAATCTTAGGACTCAATTCAATACAAAATAATCTCCTCACTGGCCTTCTGAGTATTGTTCATCTTGATATATTTATGTCAAAAACCATATAGAACAATGGCATCTATAATTTGAAAACTTAAAATTACAGTACTTTTTAAAAATATAAATAATTTTTATAGTCCTATGTTATTCAAATTATTTCTTGAAAGGTTATAGTTTAAATATGGAACAGTATTACAAGTAAATCTGTATAGACCTTTGTTTTAATGTTGTAAAATGCTCTGCTCATAAAGATTATACTGAAACTAGTTTTGAAAATAGTAAAAGAAATAAAATATTAATATTCTGGCACAAATTATTTTTTAAAATATATGTACATCTTGAGATTTTATATATATATGTGTATATATATATGTATGTATATATATATATATAGAGAGAGAGAGAGAGAATCCTGTGATAATATGTCTGTTATAAAATCCAGTTTGAAGGGGTCAGTGTTGCTGTACAACAGTTTAAGCCCCTGCCTATGATGCCAGCATACTATATAACTGCTGATTCAAGCTTTCTGCTAATCGACCTGGAAAAACAGCAGAATATGGATGCCTTGATGGAGCTCCACAATCCTGGCTTTGGCCTTCCATAGCCCTGGCCATTGTGGCCATTTGGGAAGTAAACCAGCAGATGGAACGTGTCTCTCTCTCTCTCTCTCTCTCTCTCTCTCTCTACCTCTCCCTCTATCTCTGTAACTCTTTCAATTAAACGTATATATCTTTTTTAAAAAAGAATCCAAATCTACTTTGGAATGAATAAAATTTCTTACTAAAAAGGACTGGTTAAACTGTTTAGCTTCAGTTTAAATAAATAATACTAAATTATGGTATTATTCCAAGATATTTATTACATTGAAACATGAAATATAGTACCTACAGAATCTGAGGAAATTTATGTAATAACTTCTTCTGTTCTCTTGATGTATCCTCAAGCTGAAATTTAAATGCTGTTACTTTAACTCAAAATATTTTATGTGATTTTCTACTTTAAACATTTTATTATATCTTTTTCTTTTCATTCAATTTAAAAGATCTATTCATTTACTTGAAAGGCAGATATACAGAGAGAGAGAAAGAGAGAGAGAATCATCAGCTAGTTCAGTAATCAAATTGCCCCAATGGCTGGGGCAGAGCCAGACCAAGGCAAGTAGCTTCTTTCAGGTCTCCCATGTGGGTACAGGGGTCTAAATGCTTAGGTCATCTTACACTGCACATTAGCAGGAAGCTGGATCAGAATTGGAGCAGCTGGGACTGGAACTGGCATGCATATGAAAAGCTGGCATTGCAGGTAGAGGTTTTATATATTACATCACAGGGCCAGTCCCATAATATTTCTTTTTAAGTTAAAGAGTATATATTTGGCAGTATATAACAATTATATCTTTGCTAAAAAATATTAGGTATTTTCAAATATGTTATTTTTTAAATATAAAAAGCCTTGAACAATGTAAATGATTTCTCTGAAATGATTCCAGATAAAGTTAACATTTAGTAATTTACAAAAGCGAAACAATCACTATTTAATGCCTTTAACTATGATGAAGCTGAGATGATTTAATTATTCCATTTACGTTAATAAGATCATTCTCTAATCACTAATTATAATCTGATTATAAAAATAGAACCATAATATACTTTACTGTAGTTGTATTTATCCATTGTGCTAGGTAATTAACATTAAGGAGAGAAACACATTAGAACACAGCATTTTAAGGAGACAAAAATTGCTAGAAGACTATTACATATAGTCCTTTGGAGATTCCTCATAGTACTTTTAATGTAAATTTTGATGGGCTATTACTTTTCATTAGTGGTGGCTTGAGTACTTACAGAAGACAACTATGTACTGTACTTAGTGCTGGGCAAATTGCCTGAATATACTTCATGTATAACTCTTACTATAATGAATAGTGGTATGGCAATTAGAAGACTGATGGCTTAGAAAATTTAGGTGGATGTATTTGAGTTCCTTTAGGTAAGAGACATTGCTCAGTGTGCAATACGAGGCATCGTTGCAATTTGAAAGCATGACACTTAAAATATATAACATAATATGGTACTTTTAAAATAAACTGGCTTGTATTTATCAAATTATAGATGAAAATACAAGTACAAATGATTCACTGGATCTTTCACTGAAATGGTTGTAAATATAATGTCTGAGCAAATAAGATACTATTTTAATCTTTAAGAATGATGTTACTGGATGAGCTTGTCCTAATTGTATTTTCGTTTTCTCCTTTTTTTAAATAAAGATTGATGGTTGATTTACTCATTTACAAGGCAGAGAGACAGACAGAGAGAGAGAGAGAAACAGACAAAGAGACAGAGCAAGACAGAGAAATCTTTCATCAGCTGGTTCACTCCCCAAATTGGCCACAAGGGCCAGTGCTGGGACAGACTAAAGAACTCCCCCTGGATTCCTGCATAGGTGGTAAAGATCTAGTTATTTGGACCACTTTCTGCTGTATTCCCAAGCACATTGTCAGGAAGCTGGATTAGAAGTAGAGAAGCCAGAACACAAATTGGCATTCCAATACGGGATACCTGTATTACAAGCAGCAGCTTAACACACTACAACACAATGCTGGTCCCACTTGTATTTTCTTAAGCAGAACATGATTACATAACTCAGTAAGGTATACAAAACATTATAGAAATATCTAATATAATTTAACAAAGAAACAACATTTATTCTAATTCCTTATATAGACACAAACTAGGATTATTTTTTCTAATTTGTGTTAAAGACTTACTTAAAAGAAATAATGTCAAGTTTATAGCCAATGTTTTATGATTTTTTTCT